TTATAATTGGTAGATATATGAAGAACAATGTTAGACAAATTGTAAATTTGTTGGAATATCTGGATAAAAATAATCAAATCCCGGCGGCTCTTATCTTTCTGGATGCTGAAAAGGCCTTTGACAAGTTGAACTGGCAATTTTTATTACGAGTGGTGGACAAAATGAACTTTGGGGACAGATTTTTATCAGTGTTAAAGGCTATCTACCAACAACAATCAGCGCAAGTGGTAGTAAATGGAGGATTGACAGATTTAATTAAAATTGAGAAAGGTACGAGGCAAGGATGTTCATTATCACCTTTATTGTTTATATTGACTTTGGAGATTTTATTAATTCAGGTTCGTGAATCATCGATCATAAAAGGAATAACTTTGGGTAAGAATGATTACAAGCTTAGAGCTTTTGCTGATGATTTGGTTTTTACCTTATTGCAACCGATTGATTCAACAAGACATTTGATACAGATTCTGACACAGTATGGGAAAGTCTCGGGATTTAAAGTAAATAATAATAAGACTAAAATATTATCTAAAAATATGCTTTTGAAAGATAAAGAGACTTTAAGTAACCTAACTGGTTTTGAAATAGNGAGTTTGGAAAAAGTATTATTATAAGTTAAGTTTTAAAATCCCAATGTGGGCTATTCCGGAACATGCAATACAAGGAATTACAAGGGGAGTTAAACTAGAGGGAATTGTTTATAAGGATTTACTTATCTTAAGGGGACAGGACTGGCAAATTAAATTATTGGATGAATTGAGACAAGATAATATTCTCCAGTCCTGGTTTTTATATTCCCAGTTGGTTGAGAGATGGCGTATAGATCAAAAGTTGGGCTTGACATTGGATGATGTGAACTTGATAAGACAGATCAAAGTAGAGCTCATATCAGGAGAATATATAGGGTTTTGATAGAGTTTGATTCAGAAACAGAATTAGTTAAAGATTGTATGATCAAATGGGCTCAAAATATCCAAGAATCAATTATGTTAGAAACATGGGAAACAATTTGGGTAAGAAATGTCAAGTTCACTCAAGCACAGAATTTAAGGGAAAATTTTTATAAAATGTTTTATAGATGGCATTTGGACCCTCAAAAATTGTCTTGCATGTACCCGAACCTGCAGCCAAAATGTTGGAGATGTGGTAATTTGGATGCAACTTATTATCATATTTGGTGGACATGTAGGGATGTTAAAGCCTTTTGGATTAAGATTTGGTGGAACCTTCAACAGATCTTTAAGAAAAAGATAAAATTTACACCGCAATTATTTTTACTGGGCATTATGGATAATCTGGACTCAAAAGAAATGAACTTGATGTTGTACTGTATAACAGCAGCAAGGACATTGATTGCTCAAAATTGGAAAAAGGAGATATTACCGACTATGGATGATTGGAGACAGAAAGTTTCATATTTTGCAGAAATGGCAAAAATATCCGCATACCTGAAGGATCAGTATCAAGAGAAATTTATTTTGGTATGGAGAAGATGGATAGATTATATTCAGAGAAAATATGAAATGAACAATTATCATATAGCTTTTAATTATTGTTACTTATAAATATTTTTATATATAATTTATATATACAGTTTATAGTTAAGTTGATTGTATATTAGAGTTACAGTAAGTTTATACTTGTTTATATTATGAATGGGTTGTTTGGGTTAAACTTGGATTATTATGTGATTATTCCTGTACTCAGCTCTGGGAAGTCCGGGGGGGGAGGGGGGAAGGGGATTAGGGGATAGAAATTATAAAAATTGATGTATTTATATGTTATAGGTAAACAATGGAATTGTATTGAAAAGAGGAGATGCTCGGCTGGTGCCCCAAACTGCACTCGATGAGGTGGTTAAGGAGGGAGATGGGATGTAGGTAGGTGGAAAGGAGGAAGGAGGAGAGGTTGTGGGTCTAGGGGGAGGAAGGAGAGGAAAGTGAATGAGGGTGGAGGCAAGGCGGGGACTGCTGAGCGTCTCCAAAAATGTATTGACTAGGATTATTTTTTTTGCTTGTGTATGTAAATGCATCATATTGGTACTTGCTGTTCAATTACAAAAATTAATAAAAAATTTATATATAAAAAAAAAAATTAATGGTGACTTCTGCTTCCGGATCGCAGCACGTTCAGTCACATGAAGAGACCTCTCTCTTCATCAGCTGTTTTCCCTCCGCCGGTAGACCCTTATGCGGGTCTTAAATCGCCCTGGAGGGGCGACTACTGTCGAGGAGGCTTTTGCTCGGCTGCGGTGGAGCAGCGGTTCCCCCTGCAGTCCGAGCTAACTCCATAGGGCCGACGGAGAAGAAGATCGGCCAGTAAAATGGCCGATCACTTAGCTGCGCCAGCCGAAGTCAGAAAATCATTTAAGCATAAAGAACCACCGTGGTGAATCCACGTGAGACCTTTCCTCCCTCTCTCTGTCCTGACTATTTGCCTGTAAAAAGTTTTTGATTACTTCCCTGTCTTAAGAGAGCAGCGCCTGTCTACTTGGGAAAGAAAGTTTTAAAAGAACTAAAATAGTTAAAGTTTTATTGACTACTTGATTTTTCTCTTTGGATACCCAGGGGCCCTGAAAAAAATAAAAAATAAATGCTATATTTTTTACTTTATCTATTATACCGGAGATACTTGCTTTTGCTTTTTCTGTTTCCCGAAAGAGATAATTTTTTACCTATTTGGAAGAAAGAGTTTACAGTCTTTTGTGGCGAAAAGTGCCATTACAAGTGTATTTTCTTTTGCTATTTGAAGATGAATTTGACCTTCAAATGACAACAAAAGGATAGAGATAAAAGATTTGCAACAGCTGTGGTGAATTTGCTTATTAGAATTTTGGAGGTGGATATTTGTTGACCTTTTTGAATATAGCCTCCACTAAAAGATCAAAGACTATTCTTGATCAAAGACTATTTCACCACTGAAATGGAGGAATCTTATCCACAGCTTGACTATGAACTTATATTGGAAAAGATTTTGGAAACTACAAACTATATGAAAGCTTATATCAAATCTTGGAGAAAAATCAAAGAGAACCACAAATTGACTTTCAACCATCGGTTCAAACTATAGACCAAAGAATAACGGAGGAAGAACAGAGTAACCATAGAGAGGTTCCTACTCAACAAGATATACAACTGAACGAGACAGAGGAACTGCACTTACAATTTAATTATGAACTTACAGTAGAAAACTACTGAGCAAATTAATTCTACACAATCCTATTTATAACCTATGGAGAACATTGATGATCAAAGAATAACATTAACTGAGCTATTTGATCTCCCAAAAATAACAGAGCTTGACATTCAGGTACAAGTTATTGAAAATTGTGATAATATGGACAATCAACTAGCAACTACAATAAGGAATAAAATTGACTATACTATTCAGACGACATTGGAAGAAAGAGAAGAGAACTTTGACTATTTTGATGTATTGAGAAATAGCTTTACTCAAATGTTGAGGTTTGATGATGCAGAGGCTTTATTATGGAAACCAGTTTGGCATAGAAAGAAAGCTAGAATTAGGTTTAAAAATGTGGCTTAAAATTCCACTGACTGGGTTAAAAAGGTTGTTGACACTTGGATTGTTTTAATAACAAATGAAATAGGTGATTTTGTAAAAGGATATTTTCTGTAACAATATTTGGTGTTAGAGATGACAAGTAGTTGGAGGGGTAAATTTTACTTAATTGATTGATAGAATATATATTTAAAATAGACAGAAATGTAGTTTTTTGGACTGATATCTTTATTTTAACCAAGACAACTATTTTGTAATAGAGGGAGAAGAGGAGGTATTTGTGATAAGAGAAGTAATAGTATTAATAAATGATGTATTAGTTTAAGCAATGACAGGGAAAAGAGAAATGAGGGATGCCCAAAGTGTTAATATGTCTATATAAGCTTAACTGGAATGTGGTAATTTTCAAAATAGTAAAGCTTAAAAACAGGACTTGGATTCTTATAATTGAAATGTGATTGATGACTGATTGGATTGATTGAGCTTTTTTTACAAATGTAATAATTTTAATTGGTAAAATAATATGTGGGAAATAGAGAGGGAACTTTTAAGGAATTAATCTGTGTGATATATGTATGATTTTGTTCTTGGATAATTGATAGCCCAATCACCACATTGTTTCTCAAGCACTTTTATGTAAAAATGAAAAAACCAATAAAATTTCTTCATAAAAAAAATTAATGGTGCCTATTTAAATAATTTAAGATTTGCAGATGATATTCTCTTCTCACAAGACCCAGAAGAGCTACAAAGACACATAAAAAAAGCTGCATGAAGAAGAAGAACCATTTGGCTTAAAAATAAACCTGAAAAAGAGCCAGGTTATGTTTAATAAATTCACCAAAGAAAGAAAAAAAATTATATCTGGAGAAGAACTAGATGTAGTAGATCACTTCATATAGCTCAGCCAATGGATCTCAATGGAAAGTGATACAATAAAGGAAATTGAACGGTGTGTTAAATGTGGTTGGCAGGATTCGGCAAGCTAAACATAATTTTCAAGAACAACCTCTCCCTATATGCCTGAAAAGTTTTTGATCCATGTGTGCTACCTGCTCTAACATGCTAGTAAAACATGGACACCAGCCTCACAAGCAATACAAAAGCTACAAGTGGCGCAAAGAGCCATGGAAAGATACATGCTCAGCATTACAAGACAAGTTAGAAAGACCTGCACATGGATTAGAGAACAAATGAAAGTATACAATATCATCAAGAGAGTAAAAGAATTGAAATAGAAATGGGCTGGTCACATAGAAAGAACTGATGGCAATTGGACCAAGGCAATCGTAGAAAAAAAGTGTCCACGAAAGAGAACTAAAATAAGATGGATTGACTACATCAGCAAGTATTGCGGGCCCAATTGGCAAAAGAAAGCTCAGGACCATGCGGAAGGGGCCTTCATCCTGCAGTGGATAGACAATAATGAGGAAGGAGGAAGGAGAAGGAAAGACATACGTATGTCCTTTTATACTTACCAAGGCATACCAAAAACTCCATCCAGGAGGAACATGGCCAAGTCCTCCTGCATCTTCTGCTCCATACTGGAAAAAGAAAAATCTAATATTAAAGAAGTTTATTTTCTCATTTTCTCAGCAAAAAAAAATCTTAAGAATACCAACAACAGAGTACCCAAACCTAGAAGAGGTTTGAAGAGTGTACCATAGCTATCTGATCTAAGAAATATAAAGCTTTAAGGTAAAGTAAGTTTTCTTCATGTAGATTTTTTTTTCAGTTGCAAAAAGCAATCCATGCATATATTGAGAGTTTGCATATAACTGCCTAATCCCATATAGGCTTATAGATTCCATAACCATCAAATGATTTAATCAAGAGCTTCACTATTAAAAGTAGCGCTCATTTACTTGGGGAAAGATAGCTTCTGATGCTCACCTTCCATTAGTTCAATTATAAGTAGGCTCTTAAGAACAAGCGGCTGATCATTCTCCACTGAATGCCACAAAATGTACCACACAAACTCTCTCGCATTTAGATAACATATATTTATGATAATTCGTCAGATTTTAAAATAAGGCAATTCAACTAATTCCCTTTTTATTTAAATACTGTATGAATTCTTGCTCTTACATTAATACATACTCTTAATTTTATAGCTTAATTTTCAGGAGCATGATTTCCTCTCTATATACTGTATATAATATTTAGATTATTTAGATTAATCCAAAGATATTCTATTTTCCTTGTGCAATCAGAGATTTTATATATGCAAAAACATTTTTAAAATGGGTATTTCAAACAATATATATCATATATAAACATACTTCATTCAAGTATTTTCCAGCAAAAAATGTTTGATAGCCACACTCAGACTTGAGTAGAGCTGGAAAGGTATATGGCTCCTGAATCTTCTGCCAGGATTTGCTGCTGCAATTTCCTTCCAAAGTATTATTTACAACATGATGATTATGTGGATATTTTCCTGTCAAGATGCTGGCTCTACTAGGACAGCATAGTGCACTGGGTACATACTACATAAAAAAATGATTATAGAAATTAGATAATACAATACTAATTTCCTGCATCCCTACATTTCAGTCTATAACTTTTACAAGCAAATTAACATAAACAGATTGGTAATTGCAGGTCTTACTATTTGTGGGTTTAGTAGTTTCCATAAAATTTCTAAAACTATTCTACATACAATATTCAAATACATTTTAAAATATTTGATGACATAATATCCAGATATCCCAAAAGTAATAGGGCATTCACCAAAATAAATACCTCTCACTAATATATATTAATAGTGGAAAGAGCTGGGCAGAACTTTTGTCTTAATATTCCAACAATTATGTGTCCTAGTAGTCAGTTAGCTTGCTTGTAAATACAGTTATGATTTTTTTACATTTGAAAAGGATATTTATAGAGCCATAGACCTCTAGAAAATATAATAAAGTCACTGTGGTGCAGAATTGCTATCTCTAATATTTTGTGAAATAAAATGTTGGAAAAATCTTATTTTCTAGCTAGGCAACACTAGAGAACTCTTTATTACTCTTTGCTTGATATTATAACTAGTAATTATTTTAATTTTACATTTAGTGAAAGATTAGAACTAGTGAGAATTGCAGTTCCCTCATGACTGTAATGAACAAGATCTTTATTGCAAAAATATTTTACAACACAGGAAATAAGAATCAAATGTCACATATTTAAGGAATATTTTAGCATTTTTTCCAGTTTACTGCCAAATTTTAACTAAGTTCTGGAACACTATCTTTCATAAGGTGATAGAACACAGCACTTCAAATAATACAGCTAAACCAAAACACTGTCTAAATTGCAAACTCTTAAAAAAATATTGAAACATCTTGAAGTGCTCTAGTAGTTAATCTCAGAAGATATACTTTGAGCATTGGAATAAATAATGTTCTCCCACATGGCTTAAACCAGAGATCTCCAACCTTTTTGATTTTGCGCCCTGGAAAGGGAGGCAGGCACCGCTATGTGCGCACGTGCAAATGCGCCACACACGTACAAAAATGGGCCACATGTGAGTGCATGGAAATATGCAAATGGCCAAACGCATGCGCATGCGCGTACGCAAGCAGCCGCACGTGAGCGCATCCACACATGCAAATGGGGTTGCATGGGTGCGAGTGCTGCAAATAGGGCAGCGCTAGTGCTGGCGGGACACTATGGGCGGCACTAGTGCCGGTGGGACACTCTGGGGCGGGATTGCGCTAGCACTGGTGGGATGCCGGTGCAGTGCTAGTTCCGGTGGGACACTCGGGGGCGGGGCGGTGCTAGTGCCAGTGGGATTCTCGGGGCGGGGTGGCGCTAGTACCAGTGGGATGCTCGGGGTGGCGCTAGTGCCAGTGGGACGCTCGGGGCAGGGCTAGTGCCGGTGGGATGCTCAGGGGCGGGGTGGCGCTAGCGTCAGCGGGATGCTTGAGGCAGCGCTAGTGTTGGCGGGGTGCTTGGGGCGGCACTAGTGCCGGTGGGACGCTTGGGGCGGGGTGGTGCTAGTGCCAACGGGATGCTCGGGGTGGTGCTAGTGCAAGTGTGGGGGCATGAGTGCATGCACGTGTGTGCATGCACTGGCCATCCCTTCACGTGGCCTGGTGGCCAAGCGGCCGCGGCCCACTAGTGGGCCGCAGCCCACATGTTGGGGACCCTTGGCTTAAACAACCTCATTTACAAAGCTGTTTGGGTTTGTATAGCAACACTTGTACTCCAAGTCCCCTAAAATCCTTTCCCAGTAGTTTGAGATGATAACCAACAGGAAGGATACATCCAGTAGTGAGGGATAGCATAAGCCAAACATTAAGAAATCGACCTAACCTGCCTCTCCCGATCCCCTCATCTTTGTGACTAAATTTCTAGGAAGAACAAAAAATTTCCACCATTCATGTCAAAAGTATTTGAAGACATTGTATATTTCCAACCAACATAAAAAGAAAAATGAAATTCCTATCAGTCTTTGTTAACAGCTTAACTGCCACCTAGATGATTATACTGTAAACATGCAGAATGTCCATAATTAAGGAAAAATTACTAAGTAAACTTTAATGTTGATAGAAATCAGAAAACCTAATTAAAACAATGCCCAAATCTAACGAATAGCCCAAAGAGCTCTCTGGTGTTGCCTAGCTAGAAAATAAGATTTTCCCAATATTTTACTTCAGCAAAGTATTAGAGATGACAATTCTGCACCACAGTGATTTCATTATATTTTCTAGAGCAGGGGTCCCCAACCCCCGGTCCGTGGACCAGGGCCATGGCATGCCAGCAACCAGTCCACACAAACAAGGAAAGCCCCATCCACAGGATTCAGGCAGCACACAAAACCACGGCTCCTCTGGTCCGCGGAAAAACCTCTCTCCACATAACCAGTCCCTGGTGCCCAAAAGGTTGGGGACCTCTGTTCTAGAGGTCCTATGGCTCTATAATATCCTTTTCAAACAAAAATATTTACAAGCTAGCTTACTTACTAGGGCACAAAATTGTTGGAACACTAAAATTCTGCCCAGGCCTTTTCTTGACTTTAATTATTCATGCCTTGAGTCAGTTATCTTCTGTCTTTTCTTATAGAATCAATTTTGCAAAACCCACCACAAATTATGTACTTACTGCATTTGAGAAAGTTACGCCCATTTCTGCAATAAGAGCATTGGTCTTTTTCAAAGGTGTCTGCAATAAAGGAAATATATAAACAATCGTACAATGTAAAAGGAAGATTTCATGACTGCAATCTTAGGATTTAATAAGAATAACACTACATATGCTAGAATTTTTCCCAACTGCACATTTTGAGGAGCTGCATATACAGTGTTCCAGCTAAGCCAGAATTGTTTGATGTTGCATGCTTTAATCTTCAACAATAAAACTTTATAATTGCAGACTAAGAAGCCAATATTGTTTTAGTACTGAAATCTCAAAATCTGAAACAAATCATTCCATAACTACTATAGTATATTAAATTCTTGCATGGAAAACCAGCTGGTTTCTGCTCAGAGATATTCTCTTTCTTAGGAACAAGCATAGAGATGCAAAGCAGGTGCTATTAACATGTTACAATAGTGGAATTATGTGCTTCACCCAATTATTAGTCAGTAATGAGAATAGTATGTAGTAAACAAACCTTTTAGAAAATATATTTCAGAAAAATGTCATTCATGGCCAATGCTGATGGTTAATTCAATAAATATTCTGGATTTTTTGTCTTTCCGGTTTCCATAGAATATAGTTTAAAATATTCAAAGATTGCTTCAGGACTCAGCTAGTATTTTAAATAACATGAGCCCCGAACCTGAAGCACAGACCAGATATTGTTCATTCCCCAAAGAATGTAATAACAAACCTTGAGGCCGAAAATCCCATAAACATTTCTGCTAAGGAATAAGAGCATAACCCATACATTAAACAATTTCCTTCCTTTTAGATTACTCAGAATCAGCTGCTGCAAATGGGCTTGCTTTATTCTAGAGCAGTGCCTGCTAAATACCAAAAGATGTGACTGTGGCCCTTACTTGGAAAGTGGGAATGTCTCTAAACACTTATTTTGATTGGTTCCACTACAGATGCATGCTGGCATATTTCGTCTACAGACCACTACAGTTGCAACTCTTTTTAAAGTATAGTAAGAGGCTCTTTTTTAATCCCTTCCTGGAATGGAGAAACAATCACACACCAAGTCTAATGTGCGTGTGTGTTTGTTACTCTCTTGATTGTCGGACAACTTCAATCCAAAGTATCCCCGGACCGACCTGAAAAGCGGTAACTTCCTTTATTCAATAAGTTCCAGGTTACAGGCGGCTTCAGTTTTCTCCCCCGTTTCCCTTTCCCATATTCATGCACATTTACTCAGAACTGGGTTCCATAGTGCCCTTCCTCCTCTGCAAGCTGCAGAGAGTAGCACAGACATATTATCAGGACACTCCGTCCTGGGTATCTGTGGGCACAGAGGTCGTTCCAGTGTGCTTTCTCCCCTCCCTCAAAGATGACGGGGCTTTTCTGCGCTTTCCTCAGTATCGCATCGGAACCTCTCCGAACCACCCGCATTCGCCTCTCCTGCTATCCGAGGGTCCATCTCCCCCTCTCCCCATCCACACAACGCGTAGAACAAGAGCAAATGTACCATTCCCCCAAGGTAGACGTCCTGGTCGTCTGTCAGAATCAGCACTACATTGGGTTTCCGCTCCCCACTGAGCCCAGCTGCTCCTGCTTCAGCGCCGACCCAAGCAGTGGAACCGAGGACCAGCAGGAACACCAAAGACTGAGCCAGAACCGGGGAAGCTCGAGCCATCCTTACATCCGAGCCCGGAGCGAACGGAAGGGAAAGAGGAGAGAAGAAAAAGCACCGGACCGCGAAAGACAGTCGCGAGACAAGGGTACTTCCTTATTTCTCCTTCTCCCCGCCTCCTCTCCTTCCCTCTCCTCTGATAGGCTGACGGACGAACCCAAATCAGGTTCACGTGACCTGGAGACCTCCGGCAACTTCCGCGAAGGCCGTAAATGCGCTTCGGGTCTACCCATTCGCTCTGCGTTGCTGCCGCGCTCCGGTTGTGATTGGCTCCGATTGCTCCAGCCGTCGGATTTGCTCCAGGGAAGTTCACCGAAGAGCTGTGTCGGGATTTCATTGATGTTAAGACGTTGAGTTCTATCTCCTGTTTAGGGGCTGAGTGTCTCAGCTTTGAAGCACATCAATCATAAGAATAGTGATGTATTACTGTAATATCTTTTACCAAAGCATGGAACAAAATGTTTTTTAAAAAGAAAACAAGAAAACAATAGTTACAAACAGACCTGTGAAATTAGGTGGTGCTCTCTAAAAGAATGCAAATGACCAGCTGTCTGCAAGGAGTATAAATCCTTCCATTCCCCACCATCCAGTCAGAGCTAAAGAAGCTTCTTGGATGAGAAACAAAACAGGTTCAAAGGAAAAACAGGAAAGTCCAGTTTCCTGTGAAAAAGCACCTATGGGATAACTATGATCTGGATCACTGAGAATCTCCGCAGACCTGTGAAATTAGTAATATCGTAGCTAATTTGTATCCAACAACTTTAATGGTGGACATTGCAACCCTTCATATCTGTCTGATCACACTGGTTACAATTTTCACATTTAGCTATAGATGTAAATATGTTTGTAACTTATGATAATGGCTGCAGTGACCCAAAACATACATAAGTTCATAAATTATTAAAACTTCAGACTATTTTGTTCTGTTGCAACATAATTGTTTATGAATTCTACTTAAAATCTGATTTATTGAAAAATGTTGCTGGTTTTTCATTCTTAGAATAGAATAGAGTTGGAAGGGACCTTGGAGTCCAGCCCCCTGCTCAAGCAGGAGAACCTGTGCCATCTCAGACAAGTGATTAGCCTCTTTTTAAAAATCTCCAGTGATGGAGCACCCACAATTTCTGGGGGCAAGCTATTCCACTAGTTAATTGTCCTTAATTCCAGGTTGCTTCTCTCTTTGATCAGTTTCCAACCATTGTTTCTTGTCCTGCCCTCTGGTGCATTGGTGAATAATGTGATCCCCTCTTCTTTCTGGCAGCCCCTCAAATACTGGAATACTGCTATCATGTCTCCCCTATTTCTTCTTTTCTTCAGACTAGCCAAACCCAAGTCCTGCAGCCGTTCTTTGTATGTTTTAGTCTCCAGGCCTTTGATCATCTTAGTTGCTCTCCTCTGAATTTTTTTTCCAAACTCTCAACATCTTTTTTGTGATTTGGTGACCAAAATTGGCTGCAGTATTCTAGGTGTGGTCTTACTAGGGTTTTATAAAGCGGTACTAATATTTCCCATGATCTTGCCTCTGTTTATACAACCCAAGATTGTATTAGTTTTTTTTGCTGCTGCTGCACACTGCTGGCTCATGGTTAAGTGATCGTCCACTAGGACTCCAAGATCCCTCTCACAGCTACTGTTTTTAAGCCAGGTCTTGCCCAATCTGTACTTGTACCTTTGATTTTTCCTGCCTAAATGTAAAACTTTTCTTCACATTGAAACTCATTTTGTTGGATAGGGCCTATTGTTCAAGTTTGTCAAGATCTTTTTGGATCCTGAGTTTGTCTTCTGGGGTGTTAGATACTCCTGCTAAAAAAAATGCAGAAAAGTAATTAAGAAAAACATTTTTAAAATGTTATGTAAAGATTCAGTTTATTTTAGTTTAATAATAGCAGTTGCATGCTAAACCATCTTGAATGTTGCCAAACAAAGCAAAAATCCTTTCATTATTTAACCAGTGTAGTTAACCTGCATATTATAGCCAGAAGTACCCATGAAGAATGGAGAATTTTGTATACTTCAAGTAGTTGCAGTACTATAAGTTGCAAATAAGTTCTATAGCTATTAGGCATTCTTTATTTAATCAGCTTAATGCAGCCATGAAAAAAATCAAGTCATAAATGGAGATTTCCTGGACTGTTATTCTTCTAATCAAGATATATGCTTGGAGTAATAACTCATAGGCTGTATTTGCATGATAGTTACTTCTGATTAAAGAACTGTACAGAACAAACCATAGTTAAAGTCTGCATAACATATTGAACACAACCCATTAGGTTAATCTGTGATTCAATGTATTTTGTAAACCCAGCCTTAAACTGAGGGTAAAGTAGAAATTGCATGAAAAATGAGGTTTTATATTGCCATGAAACAGATACAATTATGATCCAGACTTTAAGTCAGGGGTGTCAAACTTGCAATGTCATGTGATGTGTAGCGACGTATCGTGACTTTTTTCCAATTGCCGGCAATGGGGTGGGCCCGGTTTCAGCATGACACATCCGACTTGTGGGCTGGCAGTTTGACACCCCTGCTTTAAGTGATGCTTGTTTTTAATTTTGTCAATGTATAAAATTTTGATTTTTTTTCTTTAAAAGACCTGTATTTATAAGAAATGCTTTATCCACACATTAGCCAACTATGGTCACTTTATGATCCAGTATGTCACACAATTTTTAAATGTTGGGTTGAATAAACTGTGTTTAAATTATGGGTAAATATATTTTGCTTGTGTAACTTAAGCATTCCTATTTCAAGCATGTTTTATAAATGAAATATCATAGGTGGATACTTCTGGACGGTAGAAATAACTTTTGTGCACATAAAATGTTTTGCTTATGTTTAGCTGGCATGAAGTTTGCCTATGTTTATGGTTTAGTTTATGGCAATCGCTGTGCTTTTACAATGTGCTTATCCTTTATTAATTTACTCATGATAAACTTGATAATCTGAATTTAGACAACACAAACTAAACTATCACATTGGCTGGATTTACACAGTGTGCTGCATTATAATTTGGCCAATCAGAACTAGTGGTTAAGATACCAGACTATAAACTGGTAGACTGAATTCTTAGTCCTACTTTAAGTACAAAAACCAGCTGGGAGACCTTAGACCACTCAAATTTAACCTAACTTGTTGCATGTATCCAGAGAAATTGCATTAAGTAAATAATTGTTAAATTAACCTTGGCTTATGTTGTGCAAGGAAAGCTACTGTTTTGCTGTCCATTCACTGTTTAATGGTGTATGGTTTTCCTCTGCAAAATTATGCAGGTCAGCCATAGCCATTAGCTGAAATATAATCATTTGTTTTTGCTACATGTACCAGTTTCAGTGTGACACCTGGATCACTTGCTCTAGTCTAGATAAAGCCCAGACTGGTTAGTTAGTGCAAAATCGGCCCGATCCCAACTACTGCAGCGGGAGGCTCCCTTTGAAGTTAGCAAAGGACCGGTGATTCGAAGAGAGCTGATTGGCTCCCGGCAACAGGTGCAGAGCGCTGATTGTTTGGGAGCCACTACTTGCAGAGGGGTGAGGAATGCAAGCCGAAGGTGTCGCAGTCTAATAGAGGCTGGGAGGGATGTGACGCTCTGCCAACGCAGGTCTTCGTCGAACATAGGAGATTTCCCTTCCTCTTCCACCTCCGTTCCGTGGAGAATGGGACAAACCCGGAACTCTGGCCTGAGAACTATTCAGGCGGCGAAAGCGTTGCTCACCTCCTCATAGTAGCAGCGGCGCGTGTCCCTGTTGCGCCCGAGGCGCGGAGAAGAAGCCCAATGGAGCTCACGGAGGTCTACTTGGGCGACAACAGGGAGGGCGCTGAAGCAGAAACAGGCAGATGTGTTGCGGAGCTGCCTGTTCGGAGCAGAGTAAGCAGCAATGCAGGCAGCTTGGTGGAGGACGAAGAGGCGGAGCTCGGCCGGATTAGAAGGGCCAGCCGTGCCTCCTCTCTGGTGAGTGGGCTGCTAACCGAGCTCTACAGCGTCCGCCACCGCGACAGCGTAGACAGTTCCACGGAGGCTTCCGCCGGCTCCGACGCTTTCCCCGGGGGGAGAGGCAGCAGCGCTGAATCCCGCGTCCTGCAGGAGCTGCAGCGGAACTCTGGTCAGCGGCACCAGAGGAAGTACCTGGCTCAGAAAGGTAAAGCAGACCGAGGATGCCGCCAAGGTTTCTCCTCACTGAACCCCGTGTCGTCCTATCATGAGGAATGTTCCCCCGGCTGATATGCACAGCGAAGGCAGAAACAGGCTTCTCTGTCTGAGAGAAGAGCTGGGCTCGGTCCAATTGCGCTGGGTGGTCGTTCTGGGAATAAAAGCAGTGAAAGCAAGCATGTGACCCATCTGGAATTGGCAGAGAAAAGATAAAAATGAAGTGATCGTGATAAACAGAGCCCTACTGGAAGATAAGGCACAGAGCCCCACTAAAATATAGGTAAATGCCCAGTCCTGGTTGTGAGTTTATGGCAGAGCTGTAGGAATTCGACTTGAGATAAAAGGTAATAAACAGCAGAGTCTAACGTCTTGAGGATCGCAGAAATTAAAACCGTTTAAAGCTTGATTCTGCTTCCGCTTCTTTATTTGCCCCACCCTCTCTTATTTGAAGGAAGTGTTTCAGTTAATTGTGACATATGTCAGTCAAAACAAGATTTTCCTTTCTTGTTTCATATAGGATCTCATTTTCTTAGTTTTCTGATTGGCTTTGAACATTATTCTTATGCTCCAATTTGTTTCAGTTAAGCAGAGATTGTCCCTGCCTACCCTAAAGGTGGGATGAAAAAAAGAGCTCACCTTGGACTAAGAAGAGAAATTTTCCCAATATCTCTGCCCCTACCATCAGCCAAGTTGTTTTCTTGAAGACTGATTATTTTCTTTTGCAAAAAGCATCATTATCCTGCATATATACATTCCCATTCCACACCCCCAAAACGGGAAAAAAAATGAATGAAATGCAGCCATTAAAATTTAGCATTAACGCTGTGAATTAATGCAAATCACAATATACATTTCACCTAAGCTATGATCTTTAAGAATTGGTACCTGGATCTTCTTTAAATTATAACTTCTGGTCAGGTTGCTTTTTACTGATGGAAAGTCTTTTTAAATGATGATGATT